CTTCAGTGACCTCTTCATTCCTCTCTACATCCATTCCCACTCCATCACTGGATGAGTTGAAGAAACTCCAGTGTGTTCCAGATGTTGAGCGATCAAATGGTACCAAAGAGCTTGGATAAAGTACTTGGTGCTGGGGGCAGGAGTGAGGAAGGGGGAACTCAAACCTTTTCATCTTCAGAGAGAAACTGCCAGGCCCTGCCTTGCTCTTCACAGCTTCCCAATTTGAATCCAGAGCTGTGAAAAAGCGGAAACTGTGAAAATATGGGCTGCGAACACTGGGGAGCTGTGAAGCGGGGAAATGGGTGGGGATTTACAATCTTTCTTGAATGCAAAGGTTATAGATGCTGGTTGAAAACGTAATTCTCTGGTAAGTAACTTTTCGTCATTACAACAGCAAGAGAAGCAGCAGCCAAGGTTGCAGAATTGTCTGGGTTGTAAAAACCTTTCATTTCTTTGCTCACACCTTTCTGGCGTCTTTGGATGTGAGGCAGAAATTTTTCAGACCTGGCCTCTGCTCAGATTTCATGTGAGCGAAGCTGGGTGTCTTGTTTCTGAGCCTGGAAGTGAGAGGTAATAGCAATAACAATAATAATAGCAATAATAATAGTAATAATAATAATAGTAGTAGTAGTAGTAATAATAATAATAATACCACCAGACTGTCATTTCATTTTTTTTTCTTTTGAATACTTGTGCCTTAGAGTGGGAAAGGTGATGTTTCATATAGGAATAGCCTGGACTGAAGAGCTGTGCCTCTCACTGGCCCAGGGAAAACCCAATTTGATTTGACTGAAGTACTGGCATTAGAAAATCCCCTGCTGAGCTTTGCAGTGTTACAAAGCCCTTAGCCAGTGTTTGTATTATGAGAGGTTTCCAAGCACCCAGGTCACCTAAGGGTCCCCATCCCACCATGGCTACAGATGATGGGATGCTTCCCCTAATAAATAATTGCTTCTCCCTGAAATCAAGAAGAAGAGATGTCTGAACTCTGGTTCAGCAAGTTGTTTTAGCCCATGGCCCTGCACGTTCTTAACCTAGGACATGTGTAAATACATTAAACATTGGCTATGAGTAGGCAGGGAGTGTCAAGGAGAAGATGCGGTGTTAATTGGTGGTACCTGCAGGCTGAGATCGTGAGGACCAGGGCAGTCAGCACCAGCCTCTGTGCATCCCCCTTGACAATCCCCACTTCTTAGATCCTTCTAATGCTGCAGAATGGGCATTTAAGTTCCTTGCCAGGTCGGCTATTCATCGCAAACACATTGGGGCTTAATTGCTAATTAATTTTCCCTGGGTAATGTAGATGTATTCTTTCTCAAGTGTGTGAACCTAGAAAAACTTTCTAGATGAGTTGACCGTAATTGGTGTTTTCTCACTTAGGTGAGAAGTAGCAGTTCATCAGCTCTTAATTAGCTTGGACTTTTTCGAGATCAGCTTCCAATGTTTTGACAGAAAGATACAGGTCTTGCTTCTCCTGTAGCAGTACAAAGAAAGTCATTTTACCTTGAATTGACAAATCGGGCTGCGTTTGTTGGTGTTTTCTTCCTCCTGATGGCGAGTGCCAAGCCGCATGTTGGACCTGGGCTGCTGAGCAATTTATTCAATTAGCGTTGCTTGTCACAGAGAAAAGAGCCCTGATTATACAAGAGAGTTTAAAGAGAGCTCAATTTAGTTAAATTGTGAATGGGTAACCAGCAGCACTTGGTGTGATGCGTTACAACATGGAGCAGCTTTATCTATCTCATCAGTGGTAGAGGAACTCTGTATTTTGTGTCTGGTGCAGGTGGATGCTATTTCTGGTCACTGTACAGGTAGGGAGGCTGTCGGAGCAGCTTTATCTATCTCATCAGTGGTAAAAAAACTAGGTATTTTATGTCTGGTGCAGGTGGATGCCATTTCTGGTCACTGTACAGGTAGGGAGGCTGTGGCAGTAGGAAAACGAAGCCACCTCAGGTTAGTCAGACCTCAGAAAGGGTCCTGACAGGACAAAGCGTCTGCCTGGCTTGTGAGCATAGGTAATAGCTATAAATACACCTGGCTTAGGTGCCAACACTCACTGGTGTCTGTGGGTAGAAATCAGCTTTTAATAGATGGACAAACACGTGTGGATCTGTCATTTGAGAGATGGAGGAATCCCAGTGCAAATGTTTGGAGATGGAAACTGCTGAAAAAGAATAAGTTTCTTCTAAAAATACACTTGAAAACCCCAGGTTTTATTCAACATTTTAGAGAACACATTTCTATGTTCTGTATAAGTGTTTAAACCAAACTTCTGCTAATACCTGGTTTGCTCCCAGTCTTTTAAAAACACTTAAATCACATTGAAACTATTAAGCAGTACGTGATTGTGACTGCAGGAAGCCAGACTATCAATGCCTGCTATCGGTTTGCTAAAGTACTACCAGAAGTTTCAGTATTGGTAGCCTGTGTTGTTTTCACTCGCTCAATCCGCTTGTTGAGCTTCAGCTTCATTCAAATCTGAGAAGCCAATGAGAGGTTATTAACGTAGGAAAGCTTGCATGGCCCTTCCAGTCTATGAATGTAAACCAGACCATGGAAGTGAGCTTTACTAAACTTTTAGAGGTGGTTAACTGCAGTCAGTGCCGTTCCCTCAAAAATACTTGGTTCAGTAAGGCTTTGTACATGCAATGTGCCTTTTCCAGAAGCTTTTCTTTCTTATATGCGTAGAACAGTGCAGTTAATTTATATACCTAAATGCATGCTGTTTGATTTTAATTGAATAACGGTTTCCCTCCAACTAGAGCTTATCATACATCACCAACAAAATAATAGTCATTTAGATTTAAAGAACAGTATAATCACGTTCGCTTCCAAAAGGCCCCAAAAAGTCCAAATGTAATTGAAATGAAAATGATTATTTAAATCATTTTCCCTCTCACCGACTTAAACGATGATTGAAGTTGCTTATGTAAATCAATAAATTGAATCAGGCCGGTCCTGCTATGAGTTCCCCGCTGTGCAGCCTCAGGTAGCTGCAGTCGAGAGGCTGGAAATACCTACAGATAAGGTAAGGTAAGGGAGGAGTCGAACCTGTCATCTTTACCCCGCTGTATGTAGCAAGAGTCACATTTCTGTCGCTGCTGTGACCACTGAACCTAGGGTGTAAAGCAATTTAGGTGTTTACACCTAAACAAAAGCAGGATGCAAATCCAAAGAATAAGATGAGATGAGAATCTTGAACGTGATAATGTTGCTCTCCTTTCAGAAACACTTGAGCACAACCCAGGCTTTAAATATGTCATAAGATGTGCCTGCTCATGTCCCGGTGCTTGGGACTCTGATTTCTCCAAAGGCAACTTCACATTGTGCAGCAGATCGTGGTGGTTTTGGGTTGTTGCAGGGACCCAGTCTTAGACTGCTGTGCTTTGTGCTACGGCCTTTGACAGGCTTGGGGATGAGTGGCTGGAGCTGTCAGGCAGAAAAGGACCTGGGGTGTTGGTGGACAGCAATGACCATGAGCCAGCAATGTGCCCTTGAGCCAAGAAGGCCAACGCCATCCTGGGGTGGATGAGAAGGGGTGGTTGTAGCGCAGAGGTTCTCCTGCCCCTCTGCTCTGCCCTGCTCACACCACAGCTGCAATCTTGTGTCCAGTGCTGGGCCCTCAGCTCAAGAAGGACAGGAACTGCTTGAAAGAGTCCAGCAGGGCCACAAAGATGAGGAGGGAGTGGAGCATCTCCTGCTGAGGAGCGGCTGAGGGAGCTGGGGCTCTTGAGCTTGGAGCAGAGGAGCCTGAGGGGTGCCCTCATTCCTGGGGATCCATTGGGAAAGGGCAGTGTCAGGAGGAAGGAGCCAGGCTCTGCTCTGGGATGGCCAATGCCAGGACAAGGGGCAATGGTCCCAAGCTGGAGCACAGGAGGTTCAAGCTGAAGATGAGGCCAAACTTTGTGAGGGTGAGGGTTATGGAGCATGGCCCAGGCTGCCCAGAGAGGTTGTGGAGTCTCCTTGTGTGGAGACACCCAAAGCCCTGGCCGTGTTCCTGTGTGACTGCTCTGGTGATCCTGCTCTGGCAGGGGTTGCACTGGGGGAGCTTTCCAGGTCCCTTCCAGCTCCTCATATTCTGTGTTTCTGTGATGTGTTGTATGGAGACACATTCAGTACGTTGTACTGGAGTCCTGCAGGCTCCCCCAGATTATCAGTGCCACAGCCAGGAATAGCAGCCTCCAAGGAAAAAAGGAAATTTGGAGGTGGGGAGCAGGGGAAAGTTCTGTTTTCAGATTGCAGAAGTTGCAGTCTTCTCCAGAAGAGTCCTCACTTTCATGTGATGGTAAGGGCAGGCAGTGGTGGAGGAATTCAGACCTTTGACATGACAAAATGAAGATTTCAGGTTATCTTGTAGATGGAATCTTCTATCTTGCTTCATTCTGGTGTGGGTGCTGATGTTGATAGGGTAGTCTGACTCTAACAGCAGTCATTACTGCGGGGGTTGGACTAGGTGATCTTTCAAGGTCCCTTCCAACTCCTAATATTCTGTGATTACAGGGCAGACCTCCATTGCCTGAGCAGCATCCAGGCGTCCTTGTGTGTTTAAAACATTTTCTAATGATGTTTGACAGGCGTCAGCTTCTGTGCCAGAAGTGGCTGGTTCTAGATTTGGGACTGAGTGTCTCATAAGGCGCTGGCTGACAACTGTGGCAAGTTGCAGTGTGTGTCAGCAGTGCTAGCTGCTGTGTTCTGTAAGGAAAACCTATGAGTAACACTGTGGCTCAGAGAAGAGCCTCAGTTTTGAGTCCAGGTGAGGCTGCCAGAAGAGCCAGAGAGGTGACCATGGTGCTCTGGCACTGGGGGTTCCTTCTTCAGTCCTCTCAGCTATGGCTCAAGACTGAGAATGTGGGTAAGGTGTGTTGGAGGAAAAGCCCTGTTAGGGCCCTTCTCCTTTCTCAGGGTGTTTGGTTCTTCTGCCAAATGGAGAATTGGATTGCCCGTTGGATTCCCGCTTGTCCAACCCATGCATCACAGTCTCCCTTTTCTTCTCTCCTCAGGTTATTTCCAGGATTTGCTGAACAAGTCAGAGAAGGCTCTTTATGATGCTTTTCCAAGTATATACGGAGAATTGTACACTCAAAACACGAAGCTCTTCAAGGACTTGTACAGCGAGCTACGCCGCTATTACCGGGGCTCCAACATCAACTTGGAAGAGGCCCTCAATGAGTTCTGGACACGCTTGCTGGAGCGGCTCTTCAAGCTGATGAATCCCCAGTACCACATCACAGATGAGTACCTGGACTGCATGGTGAAACACGCGGAGCAGCACAAACCCTTCGGGGAAGTTCCCAGGGACCTGAAGGTGAAGGCGACCCGAGCCTTCATCGCGGCCCGCTCCTACGCACAGGGCTTTCTTGTGGGCAGCGATGTGGTCAAAAAGGTGTCTCAGGTACGTTGGGGTTCTTCCTTCTTCTCCTTCCTTGAATTGGGGGGAGCCAGTCAACTAGTGCTGTTGGGGAGAGGGGTGTTTATTTCCTCTTATGATTTCATGACAAAGCAAGCAGACATTCTTCAGTTTTATAAAACAAACTGCTTGAGGGTCACCTATGAAGGGAGCAGCAAGCCTGGACTTCTACGGGCACTGATACCGCAGAAGCTGTGAGGTATAACTCACTGCAAATGAGTCTTTACCTCATTTTAACCTATGAGTGCCAAGGAGATGTCAGACACCCAGGCTGTAAAGCCATTCGAGACTCCTTGCTCTTCGCAGGCAGGGAAATGGCACGCCTCTAAATCACGCTGCCTTATTTCCTTCCTTGATGGCAATATGATGTAGGGCGTGCAGAGCTGCCTTGCTGCGAGTGTGCTGGGAATACACGCTGAGAGATGCATCTCAGCGATCAGTGATGGGATTGCTGTGTCTGTTTATGTAGCCATTTATTTGTACAGCTTCTGTGTACAGAGAGAGTTTGTAAAGTGCATTGGGGTCTTCAGGGATGAAAGGTGCTATATAAATGTAAATGAACATGACTGAACCCAGGGTTTAAGGAGGAAGGGAATTGTCTGTATTCTTTACTGCAGAAGCTGCTTTTCAGAGCTGTCCTGAAACAAGATATTCAGGCTTTTCACACAGGTAGCGAGGAGAAAAATCCATACTAAAAAATGACTTGCACACTGCATGTGGAGATGGCAATCAGCAGGTATGCGAATCGGGGTGTGATTAAACTGTGAATGTAAAAATACGGAATCACAATTAATTTCCTCGGAAGGTAACGCGTGGTAACGCGTAGCAGAGGGCAGTGCTGTTTGATGCAGCAAATCCAGACTTTGATCTCGGGAAGAAACATTAATGTGGTAACAGTGACAAATGCCTTAATTTATCAATGTGGGACTATAAAACTGTTCAGTTACCCCAAAGCCTTTGTACATCTCATTAACATCCCACTCTCCTGACACTTAAGACGGATAAAAGAGGAGAATGGTGTCATTTCAGAGGGAGCAAAGTCAAATATTTTTCATAAATCCTCTGAATGGCAGAGATTTCCAGCTTGACGTGCGTGATTCTGCCTGTAGCCCAGGTTGGTGGGTAAAGCAGGCTGGCATCTCTCTATCACTGGAAGGGAAGGACCTGAGATACCAACATACAGCATATGTTTCCCCAGTCTTCATGCAGACTTCTGACCCATCGCATTTTGATTCTGATCCCCTCCCTTTCTGAATTCTCTTCCTTCTCTTGGCATCGTTTATTAAACGGGATGTGGGGGGTGTATGACCAGTCACAGATCCTCCTTCGTCTTCCCTCTGCCTCCCCACAACCTGTTCCTCTGGGGTGGGAGGTCTTCCAGGAGGGTCCCAACCATTCCTCCCTCTCAGGAGAGCCCTGCCTGGGGTTGCAGCTAGCCCAGCACGTTGCTGTTGTATTGCAATCTGCATAATCCGAGTCGGGAGACCTCAGCAAAGCCTCCCTGGGAGCTGATTTTGTAACCAAGGCCATTTCCCCTGTCTTCAGGAATGGGGTTAGTACTTTAGGCAAGAAGGGGTGAGAATGCTGTGGTGGGAAATCCTTTCTATCGATGCCCTGGTAGCCCTCAGCTGTGTCTAAAATATAAGGCCTGGTTTACCCACCTTCCTTTACCAGATGTGGGTTTACACAAGTGCCAAATGGATGTGAAGCGCTGAATGCAAGCTGCAAGGGGTGCTGTGGCTTCAGGGATTTTTCATGTTGCTTTATATTTAGGGTGTCAGGAGAAAGTGTGTAAGACTCTCATTGAGATCAGAGACTGGGATCTGACTTTCCTGTCAGATGGTAGCAGCGGTCTTTAAAAATAACTCTTTGAGCCGAAATTTCGTCGAGAGCAGCGGTGAGTGTGTTTTGGTCAGGAAATCTGGGGAAAGCCTGTGGAAACAGATGCACAGAAGAAATTACCTAGCTTTGGCCTGCTGAAAAATGAGATTACGTTGGGATTATTTATTTGCAAATCCCAGAAAAGCTACTGATTTCTGCTAAAACCCTCCTGGTTTCATCTGCTCACACAGTTCCAGTTCACTGTTTGTCACCTGCACCCTGTCGCTGCTTCAGGTTCTGGGCATCCTAGAGAAGGACTGGTGCTGTTTGCTGGGTTTTCTGTCTTAAGACAGGGAAGAGCCTGCCCTGACTGAGCTATAGGCGAGGATTTCCTGAGATGTCTTTAATCCAAGGGGCTCTGTCTGCCCGATCTCATTGGAAGCCATCACTTCAGGCAGCCCTTGGCCGGTGGGCGCACAGGGACAGGGATGGGAGCGCTGTGCTGGGAGCGAGCGCTTTGCTTCCTGCTGGGGATGAATAGTTGGAGGGCGGCGGGGAGAAAATGGCAAAGCCGTTTTTCATCCTTACTGCCGTCCTAGCTTTTAAGGCAAAGTCACCCTGACAGGCTGCAGGCTCCGACACCAAGATCTAAAGCTTTTAATGCCGCGGTTCCTGCCACCAACCTGGCCTCACGCTGACAGGGCCGGAAGCGCTGCCATCTGCATGACGGCTGTGGGGAGGGGGTTTGGGGGATTTGGGGCACACACATGGCTGGTGCAGCTTTTTGCAGGGCTGGGGTGGATGTGCAGGTTGGCTCCTACGCTGGTACAGGGTTGGGGGTTATCGATGTGTCACACACAGGTGGGGGCGTTGGGGCAGCATCTCTGTGGTCACGTTCAGGTTCTGTGCTCCTGTAGCTATTCCTTCAGCAGAATTGCAGGTTTTCCCTTAAGTCGCACAACACCAAGTGCATTTTTCATCTGCGTGAAGCAGCAGCCACAAAATTCCTAGTGAAGGGTGCACGGAGAAGGCGCTCCCCGGTGATGAGCGCTTCCTGCTGTGTGCCAGGGCGAGAGAAAGGAAACATCCCAGCTCTGTTTAGGGTGTGAGAAAAGACACATCCCGGCTCTGTTTAGGGTCCTTTTCTTTGGTTGTGAGATTGAGCAGCTGCCCAAAAACAGCATTAGCTGCAACTCTAAACTTCATGTCAACAGGTGAAGGCCTTCTTGGCCTGCTCAGAGGCTCCATAGAGTCTGAGCTACTGCTGTGTGCAGCAATGAGAGCAAGAGCTGGGGCTCTTGAGCTTGGAGCAGAGGAGACTGAGGGGTGCCCTCATTCCTGGGGATCCATTGGGAAAGGGCAGTGTCAGGAGGAAGGAGCCAGGCTCTGCTCTGGGATGGCCAATGCCAGGACAAGGGGCAATGGTCCCAAGCTGGAGCACAGGAGGTTCAAGCTGAAGATGAGGACAAAGTTTGTCAGGGTGAGGGTTATGGAGCATGGCCCAGGCTGCCCAGAGAGGTTGTGGAGTCTCCTTGTGTGGAGACACCCAAAGCCCTGGCCGTGTTCCTGTGTGACTGCTCTGGTGATCCTGCTCTGGCAGGGGTTGCACTGGGGGAGCTTTCCAGGTCCCTTCCAACTCCTGATATTCTGTGAACACGCTCCTGGGAAATACCTGGTGTAGGTGAATTGAAATACTGGGGGAGGGAAGCAAAACTGAGATGGTAAAAATGGTGAGGCCTGAGAGATAACCCCTTATAAACCAAAAGCAAAACCAAAACATACTCAGAGATGCAGTCTGATAAATGGGAATATCCCAGCTGGTTTTGTTCTTTATTACTCACATTCTGGTGTGCTCAGGCATCTCAAGTCTCAGGCCAGGACTATAGGAAGCAGAGGTGACCCTGTCTGCACCAGAACACCCAAAAAGGGCAGTGAGGCTGCACACAGGTCCTTGGTGGCCTCCTGCATCTCAGCACCATGCCCCTGCTGCAGCAACAGGCAGGCAGGAGAGCTGCCCCACACACATCCAAACACGGCCAGAGTCCTCAGATTTCTCTTGGAGACTTGGCAACCTGCGAATTTTGGGTGAGAACGCAGAAGTCAAGAAATCATGGTCATTTCCAAAGGCAGGGAGAGGAGGTGTTTGACAAGTAGTTTTGCTCATCAGTCACAAAGTGAATTATTCAGGCACTCTTTCCTTTGCTTGATCTTCATTGCTTCTTCCTCCCCAATTTTAAGCTTCCCCGTGGTACTGGGGACTGATGTGAAGCGACACTGGCTACGTAAGCAAGAAGCACGTCCTTAAATAATCAGTTTTAATAGCTGTTTGCATTTCCTTTTCTCAGTAGATGTTCTTAAGGCTGATTTTCATTTGAGTACGAAACACAAGTTGGTGATTTTCTTTCCTAGTTACAAGCTTTTTCAGTAAATCCCGTATTTCATTTTGCCAATGAAGTTCATCCATCAGGACGTTTTTATTTAAGCTATACCACGTCTTACAATGCATTTCAGCCTTATTTTTTAAACTTTCCTGTTATTAAAAGGTAAATGGCAGCTTTCCTATTTACCATATGAGTAATATTTCAACACATGGTGGGTCAAGCTGCATTTGGATGGAATTTGAATTCCAATTAAAAAGGCCCAAAAATAGACTTTTTTATGAGTGTTCTTAACAGTTAAATGCATGTGCAGGATACATATGGAAAATCATGTTTATCTAAACATACTTTACATTTCCAATAAGCCAATAATGTAACAATATAATAATATAACGAAGTATGGCCTTTCCTGGTCCTCATGTCCTTTAAGGTTGTAGCCATCTCTCATACTCTGCTTTATCCCATACCCTGGAAAGACATAGTTGACTTCTGCCTTTCAGCTTCCAGTTGCTTTGTGGGTGAACTAGGCATTAAATTGGTCTGACTGAATAAAAGGACGAATATAATCTCTTTTCACACACTTTTGAAACCACTGTGCTAAAACAGCTTGAGTGCAAGGAATTTCCTGTCCCATGTGCTCGGTGACACATCCCCATCCTTTCAGTGCCTTGTCTCCGCTCAGAGCATCAGCAGCAAGTACGTGCAACTGCAAACAACATTTCATTTCATTTAAAGGATTTCACTTTTGTGATAAAATTAAGCATTTCTCTAAATTGACCTCCTTTT